CCCTAGGAGACTCTGAAAGCAAGCCTGAGCACCTAGGGCAGCAATTGATAGCATGAATGTTCCCCTTCTGCCAGTAGAGGGAAGCAGCTGAGAGAAGAAAAAAGCCTGCAAATCACTCCAAAATGTAGATTTTGTCATTGTTTACTCTGACCTATCTAGATGTTTTCTACTCTGCTTAGTTTCCTTCTTGTTGTTCAGTGAGAAGGCAATGGGAACTGGGTTTATGGGGAAACATTTGGGGAGTCATGGCACAGGTACTGGGTTTCCGTTTGAAAAAAACCAAACAAGCTCTGGACCTAGATAGTGATGGTGGGGGTATGTAATCCCACCAAATCTCACTCTAAAGTAGTTTGCATGATTAATTTTATGTTAACCGCATTTTCCCACAATAAAAAAATGGTATTTAATCCAATCCTTCCACCAAGCCCATTACAATCCATCTTATTTAGTGGGGCTCTTCAGAAAACAGTCATAATCCAATTCCATAAATTAATGATGTTCCTATCACAATCACTATCAGACTGTGTTTTAACTTTGGTCTAACCTAATTTTTGATATAAGTAGCCAAAGGCTGCTTTTCTTCATGAAACCTTTTTCTTTTAAGTTGTGGCCTTGCAAATGCTAAGTTACATCCCCAGATACCTTTACAGGATCATTTAGTAACAAAATAGTTGTATTCTACAGGCTAGTTATTTTTGGTATAAATTATGTTCTGTTTACTTTTAGTTCCCAGTATTAATGGTTCCAAATTCTGAATCCGTCTAAGTTCACAACAACAATTAATGCAAACACAAATTAATTTGATAATGGAGATGTTAATATGAGTAAAATCTACTAATTTAACAACTGTTAATGGATACTAAACACACAAAACTCATATGCATGCATGCACACTAGTCTGCCAACTGCCTTGTATTAAACTAGACAGTTAGGAAATATTCCATTACCTAACCTATGGCTTCTTTTATTTAAGTGTACAGTGTTTGCTTCTGTTAAAGAAGCTCCATTTTAGTGTTTATAAAATAGCTGTACATATCTACAAACTATTGTGGATTTCAGAAACAATGTCTTCAATTGTTTATGAGTTAAACTGGTGATTTTTCCAAACAAAGTGCCACTCTGGTTTGCCCCTGGAGTATGTCTTTGATGGGTGGCCACTCTTGAACCTATTTATCCCCGAGAGTAGAACTAATACTCACCTTCCTTGTTATTGATGAACAATGTGATGAAGACATCCTTTTGGAGCTCATGGTTGTCTTGTCATCAACTGTCTCCAAGTCCTTGGAGACTTTCTCAGATCGGACAACAGTTGGGCTGACGCTGAGTTTCCGGGAACGCAGAGGGGGAATCTGGAACAAAGGAGAATGAAAGAGGTTCAACCTTGGTTGCTTTCCCCAGGCTACTTAATTGGTGAAATACTGACAAGCCAAAGAGAAAAAAAATGACATATATAGAAAATGTCATAATGAAATCTAGCACTGTGTAAAATTAATAAGTGCTAATAAGGACTGAGAGATGGCTCAGTAGGTAAAACTGCCCACCATACAAAGATGAGGATCCGAGTTCAAATCCCTAGAACTTATGTAAAATTAGGATGAGTAGCAGAAGCATCAGGAATGCCACTGCCTTGATGGCAAGATGGGAGTCAAAGACAGGAGAATCTCTGAAAAGTTGAAGGCCAGTTAGCCTGATGTATATGATAGAAAAACAAAGAGACTCCGTCTGAAACAAAGGGGGCTAAAAGGCAAGAATCAACACCTAAGGTTGTGAGTTTGTCCTCTAACTTCTACAAATGTGCTTGAATGTGTGTGTGTGTGTGTGTGTGTGTGTGTGTGTGTGTGTGTGTGTGTGTGTGTGTGTGGGTTCCCAGTGTCCCTGCCTGCATGTATGCCTTTATGTATTATACATATGCACATAAAATAACAATGGAAAAGTAGGCTCAGGAAGGAATTTCCTGCCTCCTTGCCTTCGAATCTAATACCTACTTAAGTCAAAGACCGGCAGTCTTGGTTTTGTCTCTGGGTTTTTGCACACTTTTGCCAATCTCCAAACAAAGTCAGAAATTTCAAATTTACAGAGCATGAAGGACAAGCTCTGGGTTTCCTCTTGAGCATCAGATAAATAAATAAACAAATAAATAAATAAAATTTCAAATCCACAGTGGTGCTGAGGGTGATTTGAACTATGGGTGCCTGGCTCAAGAGGTTTCAGAGAAGAAGAATATTAGTATGCTGCCAGAGACCATTCTTGTGATGTTTTGGCAAAGAATGTGTCTGCTTTTTGCCCTTGTCTGAAAAACAAAAAATCAGCCTGGGGCTAAATCAAAGAATTATGGATTAACAGCTTTAACAGATAATATTTTCAAACAACCTAGCATTGACTGTGTTGCATGGTTATTAGTGTTTGCTCTTATGCAGATCTGTTACACAAACCAGCAAGCTGAACAAGGAAAAGCACAAAAATGTACACTTGGTAGAGAAAAGGGGCACCAGGAAGTGCAAACAGATTAAAGCCTAAGGCTAAGTGAAATAAAGGGAGTGGCGACCTCGGAGGAAGATCCCACCCAGCTAAACTCTCAACTTGGGAAAAGGAATTAAAGAAAAATTTAGGGTCAGGTATGGCGGGGTACACCTTCAATCCCAGCACTCAGAAGGCAGAGGCTGTCAAATCTCTGAATTCAAGGCCAGCCTGGTCTACACAGCTAGTTCTATGACAACCAAGCTTAGACTGTGAAGGAAACCACTGAAAACAGAAAGCTGGTGAAGATGTATTTGAACAAGAGGACCATGTTCCAGCCCCGGCAAGTAGCAGAACTTGGCAGCTTCTGCTGCACAGTTCTAGCTTTAGAGTTAAGAATAGAAGAAAGGGATTATGGAATCTCCTTCCACAGCTAAAGAAAGCTGCTGAGGTTATGTGTGTGGCAGGGTGTCCCTGCATGGAGGCCTAGAGAGACCACTGTGTGAAGCTATGAAGGTGAGGCCTGGATTGCCTTGGAGACCCCAAAATCTTGGAGATGGCATAACTGTAGGATACCTGCCAAGGAAAGCTGCTAACAGAGAGTAGAACCAGTCCAAGAGAGATAAGTATGTTGCAGTCAACAAACCTGAAAGGGGTTGGAGATCTGAAGAGCATTTTTGACATCAGACATGGAGATGCAGAGATTGGAGTTTGCCCACCTGGTTTTTGGTCCAGCTTTGGTCCAATAGTTCCTCAGTATACTCTCTTTCCTTCTTTTCAGGACAGAGATGTATATCCTGTTCCATTATATGTTGGACCTACATGATCTGATTTTTGAGTTTGATTTTACAGAGGATTAAAATTAAGAGATTGGCCAGGCGGTGGTGTGCACACGCCTATAATCCCAGCACTCAGGAGGCAGAGGCAGGTGGATCTCTATGAGTTCGAGACCAGCCTGGTCTACAAGAGCTAGTTCCAAGACAGCCTCCAAAGCCACAGAGAAACCCTGTCTCAGAAAAAAAAAATTAAGAGATTGGATGAATCTCAGAAGAGGCTTGGAACATTAGACTTTTAAATAAGTTTGAGACTGTTGTAGATTAGGGGGACATCTGAAGTCGGACTATAACATGGCTACAAGTGTATGGGGACCTGGGAGTGGAATGTGGTGGTCTGAGTGAAAATGGCCCCCATAGGTACATAGGGAGTGGCAGCATTTGGAAGTATGGCCGTGTTTGATAGGTATGACCTTGTGGAAGTGTGTCACTATGGGAGCAAGCTTTGAGGTCTTATATGCTTAAGCTATGCCCAGTGCGGCACAGTCTCTCCTTCTGCTACCTGTGGATCAAGATGGAGAACTCTCAGCTCCTTCTCCAGCACCATGTCTGCCTGAGTACTGCCATGTTTGTGGCCATGACAATAATGAACAAAACCTCTGAAACTGTAAGCTGGCCCCAATTAAATGCTTTCCTTTATAAGAGTTTCCATGGCCATGGTGTCTCTTCACAACAATAGAAACCCTGACTAAGACAATCTATCTGGCTTAGCTGCCCATGTTCCACACATTTCCATGGTTATTACCTCAGAAACCTTGGAACCCGAAACCCAGAGTTCACTTTTGGTATCATAGCGGCCAATAGATCCACTGAAAGTTCTCAGGACATCATTTCCTAAGATTCTAGGCAGAGTTCTGGAAATAGAAGATTTCTGTGGGAAAGAAAGCTTGGGGTTGGTATGCTAGCACATAATTAGCAAACTCTCCACTGTCAAAATAATGATGGTATCCTTGGAATGTGTTAAGCAAGTACACTAACAGCAGCCAACACTCTTTTTGGCCATGTTAGGTAGTTCCACACCTATTTACATATTGTATTATTTGATGTGTAAGATATTGCTGTGAGGTTGAAGAAGCTGATAAGCAGGATCAAATTGCTCCCTACTTTGAGGAGGGGTAGGATAGAAGAATAATGTCTAATTGGTCTGAGATCAAGTTCATTGTTACCTTCCGTGATCTGGTTCTCTGTGTCTCAGGAGAAGATAGAAGTTTGCTTGCTGATTTTTCAGGTTCAGGCTCCAAACCGAAGACACTATCATGGGATATGGCCTTGCTTCCCATGCTGCTCTTAGGCCTACATGGGAGGGTAAAGTCTTTTAAAAGCAATTCAAGGGATTCAAACTCAAAGAACAAGGTATTTTCATGATAAAAATACCAGAGACAGCTCAGAAGGAGGACAGAGATACGTGTGTGCTGAAACAGAAAGAAATCAGTGTATGAAATATGGAGTGAGAGAGAACACAAAAGCAAAAGTACATAGTATGTAAGGTAATATAGTGGTGGTTTCAAAGTGGCTGCCAAAGTGAGTGGTACTATTAGTAGGCGTGGCCTTGTAAGAGTTGGTGTGTCACAATGGGGTGGGCTATGAGTTCTCATTTGCTCAAGCCACGCCCAGTGTCACAGTTCACTTCCTGTTGCCTGAAAGTCAAGATGTATTATATTTATGTGGAATAGTCCTAAGCATGAAATAAAAGGCTATATAGACTTATCCGGAAGTGGCCTCTTTGGTGACAGAATTTCCTGAAGAAATACTTCCTATTTTTACTTTTTCTCTTTATTTTTTGTTTTTACACCACAGCCAAAGTTTCCCCCTCTCTCCTCTCCTAGTTCCTCCACCCTCCACCTCCCCCCCCACTCTTCCTCCTGTGTTTCTCTTCAGAAAAGGGGGGCCTCCCATGGATATCAGCCAGCTGTGGAATATCACATTGCAGTGAAAGTAGGCACCTCCTCTTCTATTAGGGCTGAATGAGACAATCTGGTAAGAGGGAAAGGTCCCCAAAGCAGGCAATAAAGTAAGATATAGCCCCTGCTTCCATTGTTAGGAGTCTCACACAAAGTTCAAGCTACACAAATGCCATAAATATGAAGAGGGCCTAGGTCAGTCCCATGCAGGCTCCATGGTTGTCTGTTCAGTCTCTGTGAGACCCCATGAGGCCAGGTTAGTTGATTCTGTGAGTTTTCTTGTGGTGTCCTTGACTCCACTGACTCCTATAATTCTTCCTCCTCCTCTTCTGCAAGATTCCCCAAGTTCTGCCTAATGTTTCACTGTGGGTCCCTGTGTCTCTTTCTATCAGTTGCTGGGTGAATACACATAAATATAATAATGTCATTGCACTGCTGTGGATTATGCTAATTGTTAATAATAAAGCTGTTTGGCCAATAACAGGGCATAAAGAATTGGGCAAGACATCCTGGCACAGGGAGAATGCTGGGAGAGAAGAGTGGAGTCAGGGCAGTCATGGCAGAAGCCAGCCAGCCAATAAGTAAACAGGATGTGTGGAAAATAAGGTAATAAGCCATGAGCCATGTGGCAAAATGTGGATTAATAAAAATGTGTTAATTTAAATTTAAGGGCTAGTTAGTAATAAAACTGAGCTATTAGCCAAGCATTTATAATATAAGCCTCTGTGTGGTTATTTGGAAACAACTCCTGGGACAGGAAAACTACCTACATTTCCTCCTTCTCCCCTTATTCCTTCTAACCCCTCCTATGCTCCCTTCCCTCCCTCTCAAATTCAGGGCCTTTTTCTTTAATTACTGTTGTTACATCTCTACATAAACATATGAATAAATATATAAGCACAACCTGCTGAGTCCACTTACTGTTCCTTATTTGCATATGTTTTCAGGGAAGACCACTTGGGATTAGTAACCAACTAGCATTCCTAACCCCTCCAACTCCTATACTTCCCTACTTCTTGCTCTCCTCTTCATGTCCCATTTTTAAATTCACTGTCTCTAATTAGTTCTTCCCATATACACAAGGGTGTGGGGTCATCCACTGGGGCATTGTAAATCTTCAAAAGGCTACACCTCTTAAGAAAATTGATACTGTCTAGTAGCCATCAACTGCCAATAGCTCCTCAGCTAAGGATAGAGCCTTACGATCCCCTCATCAATCCATGCTGGAATGGTGACAGTAAAGCCCTGCTTTTTAAGCTGGGAGTTGCAATCACATTTGGGTTTACATAATTGGAAGCATGCAATGGTTGAAAAATAATTGGAAATCAACTGAATGGTGAATCTGAAGTGTTTCTGGCAGTATTCATCCATGTTGCATCGTGTGCTTTCACTGCATTCTTTGTTCTAAACACACAACACATGTACTTTGTACTCTTCATGCCACACAGTGTCAATGAACACTATCTGAAATGCCTCAGCTCAGATTCGAGACTGGTATATGATAAGAGTTTCAGTGTTTTTATTGTACTTATAGGGATAGGAAAACCAGTATTTTCCTACTACCATGATTCAACATGGAAATATCAAACCAGTATACCTTTTGATTGTACTGTGTTAAAATGTTTGATTTTTTTTATTTGCTTGTTGCATGAGACAGGATCTCACCATGTAGCTTTGGATAGCCTGGAACTTGCTATGTAGACCAATCTGGCATCAAACTCATAAAGATCACCCTGCCTCTGCCACCTGAGTCCTGGCATTATGGCTTGTACTACCATACCCAGCTGGCTATAAGTTGTATGGCTGATTGATTGTTCAGATGGTTGAAAATCCCAATCTCTCTTCCAAACACTTGGGTAGCATTCTCTAAGGTTTTTGTCCTAGCACATTAAGCAAGGTATAAAGGCAAGGAGTGATCTTCAGGCTCTTAATGTATGTTTCTTGCCAAAATACCTCTCCCCTTATGTCTCTCTCAACATTTCTTAGGGTGGCTGTGGTAGTTTGAATGTAATTGGTCCCCATAATATCATAGTGAGTGGCACTTTTAGGAGGTGTGGCTTTGTTGGAGTGGGAATAGCCTTGTTGGAGGAACTGTGTCACTGCAGAGGCAGGCTTGGGGTCTCATATATACTCAAGCCATGCACAATGTCTCAGACCACTTCCTGCTGCCTGTGGGTCAAGATGTATTAATTTAAAGCTCCTTCTCTAGCACCATGTCTGCCTACATGCTGTCATGCCCCACCATGATGATAATGGACTAAACCTCTGAACTGTAAGCCACCCCCTGATGGGGGAAGTGCTTCTGTGTATGTGTTTGTCTTACTGGATGAGAAATAAACTTCTGTTTGGCCAATTAGACAGCAAGTTAGACAGGACCAGGAATCAAAGGGGATTCTGGGAAATATAGTAGAGAAGTGGTGATTCAGGCAGGAAGTAACATTGCAAGGGGGAACAGGAAGTGTCCTTTTCCCCTCGGCGCCTCCTCCAGTGGCACAATTTGAGCCACCGGCAAGAGAGGGCGCCAGTAGAAGGCATCCTTTATAAGATAAGTCTTATAAAATATATAGATTTATGATAATTAAGACTGAGCTAACAGATGAGAATCCTAGTCATTGGCCAAGCAGCATTTGAACCTAATACAAGTTTCTGTGTATTAATTTGGGCCCTAACTTGGGCAGGCGGCTGGCGTAAAGTGCACATGTGGCGGTGGGACTCATCAGCTTTGGCAGAAAGATTTATCGTGCCAACCCCCAATCAAATATTTTCATTTGTAAGAGTTGCCATGGTAATGGTGTCTCTTCATAGCAACAGAAACCCTAACTAAGACAGTGGTAAATACAGCAGAGTAAACAGACTATTTTGGAATGAGAAGTTCCCATTTTTTTTTTAGAAATAGACATTACCAATTTGCAGAAACAATGCAGGGTAAACCACATAGTCCCTCCATGCCCCGCCCCTCTGTTGTATACTCAGGCTTCTTCTAGTCTTACTTTGAACTCTGAGACAATGTTCTACAATGGCGTTGCTTGTAAGGTCTGAAATAAGCCCCTTTGTCCAACACCCTTCCTCTTGGCAAAGCTATCTGAAAGTCCTTATCATAGGTACACTCATTAAAGAACCATAAATATTTTAATGCCATCATGGCATGGGAAGTGTTTTGGACAGGGGAGTATTGGAAGAATATTAGCATGGCAGAGCCTCAGAGAATGGCTAGGAGCACTGGCAAAGTCTGTGTGGCACCTCCAGATGTCTGCAGTTTCACACCATGCCAATTGACCGGAGTATTCCATAGAGGGAGATCCAATTTGTCTAGGGACAGCTTCAGGTACAAGATATCCCAATGAAAGAGAAAGATGATGTCTAATTTGGAACACCACATATAAAAATGTGAATGGGTGTGAGTGGGTGGCTGAGAAAACAGCCTTCCCCATATTCCTGTGACCACCCAATGTTCTGAAGAGGAATGAAAGATGGATTGGGCTTGCTAGCTTGTTTGTGTGTTTTAAGCAACAAAAGATTATATGTATTTTTTGTTTTTTGTTTTTTGTTTTTGTTTTTGTTTTTGTTTTTTGAGACAGGGTTTCTCTGTGGCTTTGGAGGCTGTCCTGGAACTAGCTCTTGTAGACCAGGCTGGTCTCGAACTCACAGAGATCCGCCTGCCTCTGCCTCCCAGTGCTGGGATTAAAGGCATGTGCCACGACCACCCGGCACAAAAGATTTTATGTTTAAGTTGTTCTATGCTAAAAAATGCCCCTTTTCCTGAGATTGTATTACTTAGAGATCTAGATTCCATTTTCTGGATCTGCAGACTAAGGATGAGGTAAGCAAACCAGGCCAAAAGACCAAACTTCTGCATGACTTGGGCCATCCTGACTTTATGAAATGGGCCATGAGCTCCTCGTGAGTAGTGGGCCTGAAGTCTGATTATTCTACCTGCCTATGCCTGTTCTAGATTTAGCCCTGGCCCCCTAACCCTCTGATCCCATCCGGGCTTACTTGTGCTCTACCGCTTGGGCTTCCAGAACTGGCTTCATAGTGCTGGTAAACCTTGGTTTTAGTCCTCTCCTTTCCATGATGTCTTCCGGTTCCTTCTTCTTCTTCTTGCCAAAAAAGTTCCTAAAGGCTTTAAACTTGGATTTCTTCTTTCCTGGGGGTGAGAAATGGACGTGAGGCCAAGTGCAGTGGAGGAAGTAAAGGTAGGGGTGTGGTAGTGGCAGGAAGAGGACTGTGATCTCAGGTGTCTTGCAGATTTCATCTCTGGTAGCCACAGTACCATTCTTTTGTTTGTAATACCCTTAAAAACCCAGCAAGCAACTTTCTGAATTGCTGTGGAAAGGAGCAACCCAGGCCACAGCTTAGGGTCTTAAGGCAGCCTCAATCCAGGCCAAATTGAGAGAGTACCCTTTTGAGTGTCAATTTCAATGACTGAGAAAACTCATTTGCATTTTATTTTTTAGCCTTTATCCTTCTACATTTTATTTTATTTGAGTTTGTTGAAGGGAAGGCACAGGATGTCATTATATAGAGAGCAGCTGGCCTTGAAATCATGATCCTCCTGCCTCAACCTCCCTAGTGCTGATGATATTACAGACCTGTGATACTCACCCCCAGATATGGCCTTATCTTTATTCTTTTAATTGCTCAAATCTAGGAAATTGTAGGAGTTAAAACAAAACCAAAACCAAAAACCACCTTGGGTTTACTCTGTAGCCCAAGGTGGCCTCAAACTTGTGTTCCTCCTGCCTGTGCAGCCAGAGGGCTGGTATAGCAACCTTATGCTACCTCCCTGGGTTTGGCATTCTGTTTTAATTTCTTAAATCTAGGAAAGTATGGGGATAAAGACGAAACAACAGCAAAACAAACAAACAAAACCCAGTAGCTCAAACTGGCTTCAAACTCTCAAGCCTCCTGTCTGCGAGCCAGGCCACCAGCCAGGCCTGACTTCATCTTTTAATGTTTTAATTTTGTAAATGTAGGAAATTCTAGAGCTGACAAAAAACAGACCTCAAACTCCCAATTCTCCTGCCTCCACACGCCAAGTATTGGTATTGCAGGCCTGTAACACCACCAAGGCATTCCCTTCTCTTTTAAACTAATTTTTAAATCTCTAAAATTGAGCTGGTTTTAAAAACGGGGCCTTAATATGTGATGGAGGCCAGCCCCACTCTCTTTGTCCTCCTGTTTCCAAACTTAAGTTCTGATATTGCAGGCCTGTGCCACCAGCCCAGGCATTGCCTTTTCTTTTAATATTATATTTTTTGATATATGAAATTGTGAGGGTTTTTTTTAAGAACCCAATATGTAGCCTAAGATGTTTCCACACTCTTGGTCCTCCTACCTCTACACCTGAAGTGCTGTTACTACAGACCTATGCCACCTACCAAGGCTTGACCTTCCCTTTTAGTGTTTTAATTTCATTTTTTGATTTTTGGAGACAGGGTTTCTCTGTGTAGCTTTGGAAACCAGGCTGTCCCCGAACTCACAGAGCTCTGTCTCTCAAGTGCTAGGATTAAAGTTGTGCACCACCACTGCCTGGCTTTAATTTCTTAAATCTAGGGAAATGTGTGTGTTTCTTTTCTTAAAAGACCTCTCTTTGTAGCCTAGGTTATCCTGTAAATTCCATCTTCTGGCTTCTACACCCTCAGGGCTAGCTAGTATTGTAGGCCTGTGTCACTACCTGAGGCTTGACCATCTCTTTTCACCTTTTAAATGCTTAAGTCTAGAAAAGTATGGGGGTTAAAAGAACAGGATCTCATTCTATAGCCCAGGCTACCCTCACATTTGACCCTCACATTTGGGATTCTCTTACCTTCACACCCAGAGTACTAATATAACAAGCTGTAGTACCATCTCAGACCTGACCTCATCTTTTACTCTTTTAATTTCTTTAATCTAGGAATATGTGGTGATTAAAAAAGTGAGTCTTCAAGACACACAGGGGTGGGCCTACACCCTATCCGAAAGGACACGATAGACTCTGATGACACCCTATGCAAGGCCTCACCCTCCAGGAGGAGCAGAAAGGATATATGATAGGTAGGGTTTTAGTGGGAGGGTGGTAGGGGAGGAGGGGAGGGAGTGGGAACTGGGATTGTCATGTAAAACAATCTTGTTTCTAATTCAAATAAAAAATCTGCAAAAAAGAAATAAATACATATTGATATCATATATATGTATATATATATATGTATATATATAT